AATCTAAATTTTTCTATCTTTGCCATATACTTATATATCTAAATTATTCTACCATATTCATACACCTTATAGTTTCTAGGATGTTCTATATTGTCTTACATATTATATTTAAGAACTCTCTAGAAATTTGTAGCAAATTTAACACTCCTCCTTGATACAAATTTCTTTGACTCCAAGCATAGCTCGTAACTCTTCAAATCTTGGTCTCGGCAACGCCTTCGTGAATATGTCTGCAATTTGATCTTCTGTTCTGCAGTAGTCGAGTTTGATCTCTTTAGTTGCTTCAGCTTCTCTTATAAAGTGATACTTGATTGCTATATGTTTTGTTCTACTGTGATGCACTGGATTCTTTGCCATTGCAATTGCTGATTCGTTATCGCAATTGATTTTAGTTGGCTGATCCTGTTTTTCTCTCATGTCTTCAAGTATCCTACGAAGCCATATAGCCTGACTCGTTGCTTCAGCAGCTGCCACGTACTCTGCTTCTGCTGTGGATTGTGCAATCGTAGCTTGCTTCTTCGACGCCCAAGAGAAAATTCCTGATTCGAGTGAGAAAGCATAGCCAGAGGTGCTCTTCATGTCATCTACCGAACCTGCCCAATCACTATCGGTGTAGCCAAGTAATCCTGAGTTAGTTTCGGTAGAGTACCATATACCTAACTCTTTTGTTCCTTGTAGATATCTCAAAATTCTTTTTTCTGCTCCAAAGTGTATTTGACTTGGACTTTGCATGAATCTTGATAGAAGACTTGTAGCATACATTATGTCTGGCAGCGTAGCTGTCAAATATAGGAGGCTTCCAATTAAACTTCGATATTTGGATGCATCAGCTTCTGGTGCTCCATCATTCTTTTGTAGTTTCTCATTTGTTATGAGTGGGGTAGCGACAGGTTTGCAACCGTACATCTTGAATTTCTTAAGTAAGCCTTCTGTGTATTTCTTTTGTGAGATGAATATCCCTTCATTTCTTTGGCTTACCTCTATATCGAGGAAGTAACTCATCAAACCAAGGTCGGTCATCTCAAAGGTCTTCATCATGTCTTCTTTGAACTCCGTTATCATCTTAGTATTGTTTTCCGTGTACATAAGGTCATCTACATATAGAGAGAGTAAGAGAGTGTACTGACCTTGAGACTTGATGTATAGTGTGGGCTCACTCTTGCTTCTCCTAAATCCTTGATCCATGAAATATTGATCGATTATGCTATACCATGCTCGAGGAGCTTGCTTCAAACCGTATAGTGCTTTTCTTAGTCTTAACACTTTGCTCTCTTCGCCTTCAGATATGAATCCTTGTGGCTGCTCCACATTGATCTCTTCTTCAAGCACACCATTGAGGAAGGAATATTTGACATCCAGTTGATGTATACTCCATCCTTTTTGTGCTGCAAGAGCTATTAGAGCTCTAATGGTATCAAGACGAGCTACTGGTGCAAATGTCTCATTGTAGTCAACCCCAGGTTGTTGTGAGTAACCCTTAGCTACTAGCCTCGCCTTATGTTTCTGTATGGTGCCATCAGGATTGAGCTTTGTCTTATAGACCCACTTAACCCCAATGATATCTTTTCCATGGGGACGATTTACTAACTCCCATGTGTTATTTTTCTCGATCATCGTTATCTCTTCTTCCATTGCCTTGACCCATGCTTCATGCTTTGATGCTTCTTCAAAGCTTCTAGGTTCGAGTATGGCCATGTTGCAGGTTTCATATATGTCTCTCAAAGATCTTACTCGTCTTGGAGTAGACTCTGGTGATGATAGTTCTTGAACTTGTTGTTGTGGTGGAGGTGAAGAAGGTTCACCTAGGACTTCTTCCTCAGCTTCTTCTTGAGGTAGTTTAGTGGGTATAAGAATATTCTTCTCCACTTTTTCTTCATCCCAAATCCAAGAAGCATTCTCATCAACTTCAACATCTCGACTGATGATGAGTTTTTTTTTTTGCAAGTTATATACACGGTAGCCTTTAGATATTGTGCTATACCCCAAGAAGATACCTCGTATAGTATTGTCTTCAAGCTTATGCCTCTTCACGTCTGGAATATAAATGTAGCATATAGATCCAAAGACCCTTAGGTGCTTTGCTAATGGATTCTTCCCGTTTCAAGCCTCAATTGGAGTCTTATCTTGTACAGATTTAGTTGGACATCTGTTGAGTAAGTAAACAGCAGTGTAGACTGCTTCAGCCCAAAATGTGTTAGGTAGTCACTTCTCTTTGAGCATCGATCTAGCCATCTCCATAACTGTGCGATTCTTTCTCTCAGACACACCATTTTGCTGAGGAGAATATGAGACTGTAAGTTGTCGCTCTATGCCTTCATCCTCACAAAATCTATCAAACTCGCGGGATGTGTACTCTTTGCCGCGATCACTTCTTAGTACTTTTATCCGCTTTCCACTTTGATTTTCAACAAGGGCCTTGAACCTTTTGAATACTCCAAAAACTTCTGATTTTTCTTTCAAGAAATGGACCCATGTCATTCTAGAGAAGTCATCAATGAAGAGTATGAAGTACCTGTTGTTCCCGTGTGATGGCGTCCTCATCGGTCCACAGACGTCAGTACGTATCAGCTCCAACAGATCTTTTTCTCTCCATGCTCCGCTTGTTGAGAATGGAAATCGGTGTTGCTTACCAAGGAGACATCCTTCACACACTTCATTGTTATCCTTTATGCTTGGAAGATCTCTCATCATGTTCTTATCATGTAACAACTTCAAGGCATGTGTGTTGAAGTGGCCAAATCTTCGATGCCAAAGCCATGAATCATCAACTTGTACCTTCATGGCAATGTTAGTTGTATATTTTAAATTTAGAGAGAAGCTTCTATTGCTTTTATTCATCTTCACTTCGGCTATCTCGGCCCTTTTATTCTTGTTGTCTACGATTTTGCATACACCTCCTTCAAAGTGAAGTGTGTAGCCTTTCTCCATCATTTGGCCAATGCTTAGAAGATTTTCTTTTAGGCTGGGAACTAGTAAGACATCATGGATGAGTCGCGTACCTTTATATGTCTCTACCACGACGGTGCCTTTTCCTTTTGACTCAACCACACTTCCATTTTCTAGTCGAACTTTGACTTTGACTGACTCATCGATGCTTTTGAAAATAGTCTCATCCTTGACCATGTGATTGCTACATCCACTATCCAAGTACCAACTTCCTCCTTTTTCTTTGATTGATTCTTGAGTGCCATAGAACATACATTGTTCTTGATCATGCTCCTCTGCGATATTAGCTTGATGCCTATTTTTGTTGCAACAGTGTTTCTCTATGTGCCCGAATTTCTTGCAATGATTGCATTGTGGCATATTACGGTACCAACAACTTTTCTCCGCGTGGCCTAGTCGTTTGCATATATTGCATGGAATATCTTTATCTGGATTGTTCTTTTGGAAATTTCTAGGAACTTCTCTTCTTTTGGAAATTTCACCATAATTTTTTTTTCCTCCATTTTCTTTATTTTGGGACTTAAATTTGAGCTTTGACTGAAAGGCATTTTCAAGTGTATCTTCTTTATTCCTATGTAGTCTTTGCTCATATGCTTCAAGAGAGTCCACTAGTTTTGTCACTGATAGAGTAGACAAATCTTTGGTTTCCTCTATTGTTGTCACGATTGGGTCAAATTTTGGGGGCATAGTAATTAAAATTTTCTCAACAATTTTCTTGTCAAGAATATCCTCCCCAAAAGCTCTCATTTGATTAACTATTTCTTTAACTTTAGAATAGTAATCTTTAACTGTCTCAGACTCCTTCATCTTCAATAGTTCAAAATCTCTTCTTAGAGATTGAAGTTTGACAACACGTACCTTGTCATTTCCTTGAAACTCCTCCTGCAACGTCTTCCAAGCTTCTTTTGCAGTCTTAACTCCCATAATTCTTGGAAAAATTGCATCAGTCACCGCTTGTTGTAAGGTGAACAATGCCTTTGAATTTTTCTGTTTATTTTTCTTCAACTCTTTTTCTTGAGCTGCATTTAGAGCTGAAGTATCTATGGGAGCGATGAAGCCTTCTTCTACTATTTCCCATAAATCTTGAGATGAAAAATATGTCTCCATTTTAACACGCCAGAAATCATAATTTTCACCATTGAAAATAGGGACACAAATAGTTGATGATTGAGTAGTGTTATCCATGGCTTAGAAAAAATATTGTAGTGGGTTAATAGTATAAGAGAAATATTTTGAGGTAGTTTGGAGGATTTTGAAATGGTAGGTATTAGTATAACTACGCCCAATGTATGACCGAACGTAGCTCTGATACCACTGTTTGGAATTGTTTAGATGATAGTTGGTAGAAGATAGTTTTAGAGAGTAGTTTAGAAAGAAGGTTTTGTGATTAATTTCTTGGATGATGGTTTACAATGTAGCAAATGCCTATTTATAGGCTCAAGTCACCGACCTTTCAATGGTGGTGAATATTCTTGAGTTCTCATGATAGGTTATTATCATGATAAATCTAGACTTTTCTATCTTTGCCATATACTTATATATCTAGATTATTCTACCATACTCATACACCTTATAGTTTCTAGGATGTTCTATATTTTCTTACATATTATATTTAAGAACTCTCTAGAAATTTGTAGCAAATTTAACAGTATATGCTGGGCAGATGTTCTGACTATGAGTAGTTAGATGAATTCTTATCATCTTATCTTTATCTATTTAGAAAAATATCTAGTTACGCTTACACCTTTAAAGTTTGAAAAAACGTGTTAAATGTGTATAGAAAATTTCAAAATGTACACATATCACAACTCTATGTATTAATATATAGAATTTAATTGATATAGACTGTTCTAAAAAGTTTTTATATTTTTTTATATTCTCAACCAATCACCATGATGTATTCTGCCACATTACATTATAAATTTTAAGTTAATGATATGACATAGCATATTGATGAATTTCTATTGAATAACAATTATTTTAGACTGTTAGTACCAATTAAACTCTAATATATATACTTTGGTCACACATATTATATTACAGGGAAATATATAATGGAGAGTCTAGGAGAAAACATGGCAGTGACAGTGGCTTTTATTCATGATGCTAATAAGTTATCAAGAGAAGAAGAGATAAATGAAAATGTTGATGAAAACAACAATGACAGACTTGCTATTACTCAGTGCATTGGTGAAACAGATACTCATTTGGATGCAATTATTTCTCGCTATGCACACACTCTAACCAACTACAGCTTGCGTAACTTAGGTAGCTTTTTTAATAATTTTGTGCTTCATTTTTCTATATCATCACTGTTTCTGTATGTAACTTGGACGTAATTGTATTATATTGAAGGGTATCCTACTAATCAAGACTTCAACTATGAGGCATTAGCACCGTTGCTTCAATTTCACTTGAATAATGCTGGAGATCCATTTCTTGGAAGCAGTTTCTCTCTAAATTCAATGAAATTTGAAGTTAGCGTGCTAGATTGGTTTGCTAAACTATGGGAAATAGAGAAGAATGAGTACTGGGGATACGTTACTTGTGGTGGAACAGAAGGCAATCTTCATGGCATTTTAGTAGGGTCAGTTTTTCTATCTACAACTTGCATAAAAAAATGATTCGAGATGAATAACAAATGATTTATGTATATTTGAATACAGGAGAGAGCAACTTCCAGATGGGATTCTATATACATCAGAAGACTCACATTATTCAATATTCAAAATAGCTAGAATGTATAGAATGAAATGTGTGAAGGTTGGCTCTTTGATCTCTGGTGAAATTGATTGTTCCAAACTAGAGGCTTCTCTGCTTGCCAACAAGGACAAACCCGCCATTATCAATTTAAACATAGGGACAACTTTGAAAGGAGGCATTGATGATCTTGATCTTGTCATTAAAACACTTGATAAATGTGGATTTACTAATGATCAATTCTACATTCACTGTGATGGAGCTCTTTATGGAATCATGTTGCCTTTTATAAAACAAGTGAGTAACATCATTTCTTCAATCTAAACATATAGATTCTCTTGTTTCTTAATTATGACTTCTTCTAAAATATTGTTTTTGTGATTTGTTAGGCTCTAAGAATTAGCTTCAAGAAACCTATTGGCAGCATAACTATTTCAGGCCATAAGTTTTTAGGATGTCCATCACCTTGTGGTGTTTTGGTAACTCGTTTGAAATACATCGATGCACTTTCAAGAGATGTTGACATCATTGCTTCAAGAGATGCCACAATCACAGGTAGTCGTTGTGGACATGCTCCAATCTTCCTTTGGTATGCTCTCAAAAAAAGGGGTTTAACAGGACTTGAGAATGAAGTGCATAAATGTATATTCAAAGCACGTTACTTGCTAAATCAACTCCGTGGTGCTGGAATTGGTGCAATGTTAAATGAGTATAGTAACATAGTTGTTTTTGAGAGACCTTTAGATGATAACTTTACTCGTAGGTGGAATTTGGCAAGCAATACATATATTGCACATGTGGTAGTGTTGAAGCATGTTACTGTTGAAATGCTTTACACATTTGTTCGTGAATTTGTCAAAAAACGACATATTTGGTATAAAGATGGACAAGTTCAACCTCCATGCATTGCTAACGATGTTGGTTCTAGAAATTGTGCTTGTTCGTTACACAAATTATCAAGAAAGTATTAGCTAAATTGTATATGTTGATGAAATAGTTAGCTCAATTATTGGATCGATAGTCACTTATATTTCTTTGCTCAACATTCATTTTTAAATAACTTATGTGTCACTTCTGTTTACCTTTTAAGATTTATTTATATTAGAGATGCAAAAATCAGATACATTAATATTAAATAATTCGTTATGAATAATATTTAATATATGTGAATTTCCATTTTTCTACTCTTTATGTATTCCGAGTAAATTGTTATTATTGATATTTAGTAATATGTTTGTACATTAATATTTTATAAATAAGATTTATGTTACAATTTAAACAATATTTAAAAAGAATAATACAATATTTCTTTGTTTCTTATTCATCTCTCATTCATCTTTACTCTTATATTATATTGTTTTTGATTAATTTTATAACATGTTATCAACATAAAACTCCAAAATTTTGAAGAATGAATATTGACACTAACACGTACAATGAAGATATTTGTCTCATTGATAGTGCAACTATTCACACATTTTTTAAAGATACAAAATATTTCTCGTATTTGGTGATGCAAAAAAGTTATGTCAGTACTATATCAAAACTTTAAAAATAACTGAAGGTTCAGGAAGAGCTAATGTGTTGATATGTGGAGGAACAAAATGACATATTGAGAATGTATTATATTCCTCTAATAATCATAAAAATTTATTATTTTTTAAATATATTTGTCTTAATGGATACCATATTGAAATAAGAGATGAAGAAGATATTGAATATCTTTGTAATACAAAATATAACTTAAGCGAACTATATGTAATAGAAAAGCTATCGGCTTTTTCTTCGAGTTTATACTACACTTATATTTGTATAGCTGAAATGCATGCCATTGTAAATCTGAAATTTACAAATAATAATAAATTTGTAATTTGACATGACTGGTTGGATCATCCCGGTTATATATGATGCGAAAAGTAATTGAAAATTCATTTGGTCGTCAATTTCTCACACAACTCTCACTCTCAATAAAAGTTGATAATTCATCCATCACCAACAAAATTTGAAAATGAATCTCTTAATTTCTCTTTTAATATTATTTTAGAGCGTATATATGCTGATAATATGAGCCAATACACCTATCAAGTGGACAGTTTAGATATTTTATAATTTTAATTGATGCATCAACTAGATGGTCATGTGTTTGTTTGTTGTCAATTTGCAACCATGTGTTTGTGAGATTGCTAGATCAACTAATTCAAAAATAAGAGCTAGTTTCCTCATTTATCCCGTCTATAAAACGCGTCTTGATAATACTGTGGATTTTCATATCAAACATTTAATGAGTGTTGTATGTCGATTGGACTTAATATTGAACATCCAACATCGCATGTTCATATATACAAAATGTGAATTTGAAAAATTATTTATTAATGTATAAAATTAATTGCAATACCATTTATCATGAGATGCAAACTCCCAATTTCTACACGGGAACATGCAACTTTGCATGCTGCAATGATTGACATCAAGCCAACTTATCACACCTCCTCCCATTTACAATTAGTTTTTGGATGTACAGTGTATATTCCAATTTCTCTATCACACCATGTAAGCGGAAATATTCAATAATTAATTACATGAAATTAGAACATCAATACTTACTTGTTGAAGTCATGATTCAAAATCTCGAAAAGATGAATGATCCTGATCTTCCTCTGTATCTCACACTCCCGTTCACAACTCTCAATGGGGCAAGTTGTGGAGCCGTCAGTTATGTTTCTGATTCTTGTGATTACAGAGAGGACCTAGCCATATAATATATATAACTCTAGTCCCTACCCATTATGGACATAAGGTTAAAGCCCACACTTTTACCCACACCAATCAGATTTCATATACCTAGTCTTTAGTTATAAATGAGATCACTTAACTAATAACAGGGATTATATATGCACCCCCATCAGAATCGCGATTGACCCGTTTTTTTACAAACTAAACAACAATTGATTGTAGCCCATGAAAAGTTATATAAATCTAACATTCTCCCACTTGGGCAAAATAAATTGTATGATCTTTATTTAAAATACATTTTCAAAACGACTCTCGGGTTAATGACTAATTCCTTAAAATGCGGCCGCATTTTAAGGAAATGCATGATTCCAGGTGCAATATCTGAATATGACTCCATGCAACAAAAGTCAAGCATTATTGAATCACGACGATTATTACATCCTTCATTGACATAAAACCTTTTGTGTTTACAAATACTACGTACTCCGTCAACTAGTCATCAATGTGGAGTGTGGCAAGAAAATAACATGCTAATGTGATCCAACAACCATCTACTATTTTCTTTGTCAGTCCTTAACAATTTCTTGCAAAAGTATTAAATCCGAAGAAATTGTATGATTTTACAAACCATAATGCCTCAGCTCCAATATGGCATTGATCACTGACGCAGTGGTCCAGACAACGTTGAGCTTAAAATCATACCTCAGCTCCAATATGGCATCGACCACCGGTATAGTGGTCCCAAAGATGTCGAGCTCAAAGTTATAACCATACCTCGAACTCCAAACTAGTGTCGACCATAAGCACGGTGGTCCCGATCACACTGAGTCCCAATTTTAACAATTGACATATAAATAAACAATGTCAAATAATAATAATAATAATATTCATTGTAATATCAATTGGTTAAAGTTGAAAATACTTAAAAATCCAACACTTAAAGTGTCTAAAATAAAATACATCATGATAAGAAACTGATATAAAGAACAAACTCCCACTAACTAAGTACATCAAAAGAACTCACAATGCCCATACTCTCAACATGGTTTTTGAACACAATGGGCCTAAGTTCTTTAGTTAGGGGATCAACTAGCATGAAATCAATATCAATGTACTCAACAATAATGTCATTTTCTTTGCAAGGTCTCTGACTGTCAAATACTTCAATTCTAAATGCTTAGAACCGCTAGAAATTTTATTATTCTTAGAGTAGAACACAAATGCATTGTTATCATAATAAAGCTTTAGTGACTTTGCAATGGAATCAGCAATACAAAGTCCAGTCACTAAATTTCTTAACCAAACAGCATGAGCAGCAGCATAACACGCAACAAACTATGCTTGCATAGTAGAAGAGGCGACAAGAGTTTTCTTTTTACTCTTCCATGATATCACACCTCCAACCAAAATAAAAATGTAACTAGAGGTAGATTTCATATCATCAACACATCCAGCCAGATCAGAGTCAATATACCCAATTATTTCTAAGTTGTCAACTCTCCTAAAAACAAGCATATACTCTTCAGTTCTCTACAAATATCTCATCACTTTCTTAACAGCAGTCCAATGATCATTCCCATGATTAGACTGATATCGTCCCAAGACGCCAACTATGAATACAATGTCAGGTCTAGTGCATACTTGAGTATACATCAAGATGCCCAATGCACTACCAAAGGGTTTTCCCTTTATTTCTTCCAGCTTGATCTCATTTTTAGGACATTGATCTTTACTGAATTTGTCTCCTTTAGTAATTGGAACATCTCCTGGCCTACAGTTCTACATATTGAACCTCTCTAGAACTCTATCAATATGTGCCCTCTGTGAAAAACCAAGCACAACACGTGATCTATCTCTGTGTATTTCAATTCCCAACAAAAGGATGTTTCACCAAGACCCTTCATATTGAAGAAAATAGTTGGCATAAGTTTGGTCTCATGAAGTAGACTAAGATCACTACTGGAAAGCAAAATATCATCAACATATAGCACGAGAAAGATGAATTTTCTCCCGCTGACCTTAAGATAGATGCACTAATCAACTTTATTTTCTTCAAAACCCAATGAGGGAACCACATCATCAAATTTCAAGTACCAGTGTCTAGAAGCTTGGTTCAAATCATAAATAGATTTTCTCAGTTTACAAACCAAATGCTCATTATCACATGACACAAAACCCTCAGCCTGCTGCATGTACACCTCCTCGTTAAGATCACCATTTAGAAAACCAGTCTTAACATTCATCTGATGCAATTCCAATTCATTATGTGCTAGAATCATATGTACCATAATACTTTCCACCATAGTCAAAACACACCACTTTTATCACATTTCCTAGTTGCTTTTCAACTTTAATTTTAAAGATTTTAAACTTTTCAAGTGCTTCTTATTTTTCCTTAATCAAGTAGAGATAGTCATACCGGAAAAAAAAAATCATCAATAAAAGTGATAAAAGATTTATTACCACAAATAATGGGAGAAATGGGTTCGCTAATGTTTGTATGAATAATTTCTAAAAGGTCTGAACTTCTAGTTGAACCTTTCTTATTGGTCTTAGTAAATTTTCCTCAAATGCAATCCACACTAATCCCTAAATCATTGAAATCTAAGGAATGTAAAATATCATCTATAATTAACCTTTCAACTCTTTCTTTAGAGATATGTCATAAACGCTTGTGCCACAACAAGGAAGATTTTTCTCTAGTTTTAGACCTTTTAGCAATGGAGCTTTCAACATTCAAGGATGAGGAAATCATATCACAATCCAAAGATAACTTATATAAACCATCCAACAAGATACCATTACCAACAACTTGAGAATTCAACATCAAATTTATTTTGCCATCATAAAAGTTAAATTGAAATCCAAACAAGATGCTGAAATCACATTCCTCCTAAAAGCAGGCACATAAAATGTATCTTTCAAAACAAGTTCAAAACCAGTTTTGAAAACTAAACTAACATCTCCCACTAGCTCCACAATGACTTCGAGATCATTTCCTACCATGAGTTTGCTTTCCCTCAAGTTTGGTCTCCGCTGGTTTATGAACCCCTCCAGATTTATTCTGGTTGTCTAACAAAATTTTAAAAACATGACAATCAGTTTTCTTATGGCCCTTTTCCTTACACCAAAAGCACCAAAAGGATTTTTTAAAAGCAACAGACTTGGGACCTTCTATATTATGGCGTTGACCATTACCAGGTTTCCTATCAGGATATCCATAATAAGCACTATGAGT